TTTCTATAATATTTTAAAAGCAGAATTGTACTTTATATAAAATCTCAATTAAATATTCAATAAAGATAGAGGCATGGTCTCACCATTAATATTAAAAAAAAAGATTTGTTTAACTAATCTGTCTTGGATAAGTTTCTTTTTAATATTTATCAACTTCATAAAATCTTTGTTTAAATCTTTCAATGATGTAGACAAATTTGGATATAAGAAAAATTGAATATCAGAAAAAATTCATAAAATTTTGTTTAGTCTATATTTGTTGATTCTGAGTTGTAAAAGATTTTGAATTTGATTCAATCTATTTTGAATAAGATCATTTATAATATAGATAGATGACCTTTGGTTTTTAATAATAGGAGTATAGATAGTTTTTTCATCTGATATGTAAAAAGTATTAATTTTATAAATATCAGATTCTTTATCACAGTTATATCCAATAACTTGTTCAGAGATAATTATTATTTCTTCAAATATTTCTCATGGATTCTGAGTGTTATCCATATCTTCAGTATTACTGTTTTATAAAAATATAAATTGTAAAGCTTCTTGTTTAGTTAACAAATCTTCTTTTATAGATAAAATATCAGGTACAGATTGTTGATTATTTTGATTAAAATTTAAATCAGTCCAAGGATTATAGTATAGATCTAAGTTTCTATTAATATTATCCATTATAAATATTATAGATGGATATAGTAAACTAAAAGTGATAAGATATATTATATATATATAACAATATAAAGATAATATATAATAATGATGAAAAATGATTTTTGAATTAAATTTTAAAATTTAGAAAATAGTCAAAATTTTATTAAGTTAACAAGGTTTGTGTATTAAGAGAATATTGTTCAAGAGCTTTGTGGAGTCCTAAAAATGTTGAGATCTTATTAATTGGATATCTGGATAGTAAATTATTGCTATTACGGCCTTAGGTCATATAATTAACAAAAAGAAAAATAATATGTAAAGAATTTGTAAAAGATGTTTAAAAAAGACCATCAGTATAATTACAAGTTCCAGTGACGTTTTTGTCTTAAGATAAGCTTAGTAGAAAAGATGTGGAATCCTTCAAAGAGTATATATATAAAATTTTAGCTTAAACAGATCAAAATAATTAACTTTACTTAGTAGCAAACATTTCATAAAACTAAAGTTTCTTTCTTGTTTTTCCAATTTCTATATAAAAAAGAGTAGGTGATCTCATAGTCATCACCAATTTGTTATCCTATATCTACTTCTTTTAAGATAGTAGGTAACTAGAGTAACCTTAAACAATGAACACTTTTTGTAATCTTACTTGTTACTGTATTATAACTAAATCAGAAGGCATTTTATTTTAGAAAACTTAACAAAGAAGATTTAAGACAATTTGCAATTACAAAAGAGACTACAATTAAAAGTATATGAGAATACTAATAATTGTTTAGTTTGGGTACTATAAAGTAGTAGTTTATTAATGAAAGAGTATGAAGACTCGATGTTGAACTTGGGGTTCATATCTGTCATTTTTATACTTTTTGGTTACATAGTAGATATAACAGCCTATATCTTTTATATATACAAGATATTTTACAACTATTATTAATAAAATAAATAAGATATGTTTGATATATAAAATAAATAAAAGAAATAAACTAAATAATATATATAAACTAGATATAATATAAAATATAGATGTTTCAAAATGCATAAATATTATATATGTTATATGTATGATATTTTGTGTAGTTATTATCAAACCAATCAAATTGCAGCTTTCTTATTATTTGGTTATTGAATTTGATCTTGGGATTCTGTGATCAGAAATAGATGATCTATATCTTATTAGAACTATCTTAGTGAACTAATTTGAATAGTGGTAGTTTTATCAAATTCTGTCCAGTGGTTCAAGAGTTATGATTATTTTTGTAAGTTAACACTAGTTATGATCAATCTTAAAAAAGAAATAGACAAGGTGGGCCTATTTTTGATGAAGTATAGGACTGTTATTAGGCGTGAAAAAGTAAATTCAGGACACTATAAAGTGGAATGTTAACATTGTGAAAAATTCTGACAAAGGGGTAAATCTTGCATTTTAAGGTTTCATCTTGCACTTCATTGCAAAAAGATTCTTAAAGATATCTGACAATATTGGCATAATAAACTTATAGATGTTGATAATACCTATAAGAGAAATTCTCAATCACAATTAGTTTTACCATCACAAATTAGTGCTAATTATGATGAGATTTTTTTAAGATCTTGAGTAATGGCTAATATCCTATTTGAAGTAATTGAAAATTCTTATATTAAGGATCTTTTTAAAGGACTTAATCTTGCATATGTGTTGCCATCTCATACAACTTTATCTAGATGGTTACTTGATGAGAAAATTGCACAGGTACAGAATAAAATTCATAATGATTTAGAGAATGCAGAACACTTAACTTTAAGTATGCATAATATTTATTAAAAAATTTTTTTTAAAAAAATTTTTTTTATATTTATTTATTTATTTATTTTGAATTAGCTTTTGATAAGTGGACATCAAAACATGAAGAATCATTATACAATTATATTGCAATAAAAAGGAACTGAAAAGAATATCTGATTTTTCTACATAATTACTCATTAAAATCACATACAGGCAATTTTATTGCTTTAGAAATTGTGGACATAATTGAGTGAATTGGATCTTAAAAGTTTGCTACTATTATTATGAATTCAGCAGCAAATCTCAAATCAGCTAGAGAAAAAATTCAAGTCAAGTATTCAAATATATTAAATATGAGGTGTATCACTTATGCTATTAATCTGATAGCAACAGATTTGTCAAAAGTTCATCAAATAAAAATATTTATTAATCAATATAGAAAAATAGTAAAACATTTTACAAGTTATCTCAAAAATTGGCATTGTTACATTAAGAATTGTCAAATATGAAGATACATTCTGAAGGCTTAGAATCATGATGTCAAACACATTGAGGGTCACTTTATGATACTACAAATTCAATATTGCTAGCACAACCTGTTTTTGACTGAGTAATTATTATTATTATTACTATTATTATTATTATTATTATTATTATTATTATGCTCATTATTTTTATTTTTACATTTATTTATTTTTTTTTCTTTTTATTATTATCATTTTTTATTTTTTATTTATATTAACATTTGTAATAGATTTTACTTGAACATCCACATGTAATTATGAATACAGAAGTCTTTAACTTATTAGACAGTAAAAATTTTTTCATTACATGTCAACAAATTTGATTGATATAGAAGCCAATAAAAGCCTGCATTAATGTTTTAGAAGCAGGTTTGGCAAATTTAGCTGACTGTTATATAAACATGATAAAGTTAGCTGTCACAATTTACCAAATTCCTGAATCCAACCTGTTTAAACCTTTTGCCATTCAAGTGTTTAATCGATGTTATACAGAATTTTAGCATCTCTTATATCTTTTAAGTTACTATCTCTATCCACTTTATCATAGTATGATTATTATTACACTGCATAATTAAATTTTTTTTAATTTTTTATTAAAATTCCAGTTTAGAATATATCAGAACTGGGTTAGCATTAAGCAATGTTAGTCAACATAGTCTACTATATAGCAAAATTATCAGTTAAGTATTTTTAGTGATCTTGAACAAAATTAATCAATTCTAACACATCTGTTCTGGATTCTAATGCATTCTGATCTGGAATTTTGAAACCTTTCTGTATATTTTTTTATATTATATTATAGTACAATAAATTTTTTTATTTAGGTTTGGAACTTCGTAATGAGGCATTTCACAATACTGCTATAGCTGCAACAACAATGTGGAAGGATTTAGATCATTCTGCCCAGAAGTGTAAAGAATTAATCTTACAATTCTGTTACTATGATGCTAATAAAAAGCCTTTTGATTTACCTTATATTCAAGGATTAGATACATCTATGTTGTGGTGGAGGTCTATAAGAAGTCATCCTAATCATCTTTCTGAACTTGCACAAAGACTTTTCAGTATCTCTTCTTCTCAAGCTAATTGTAAAAAAAACTTCTCAACCCTTAAATAGTTCATTGGAGATAAACAAATATGCCTTGGAGTTGAAAAGCTTGAAGGAATGATTACAATTAGGTCTTATCATATAATTAATATACAAAGTGAACTTACTTATTTTGATGCTAAGTTAACTGAATCCAAATTATGTGAAATGGTAAACATTGCAACGATTGATGATAATATTATAAATAAGGAAGAACTAAGTAGAAATAATGATGATGCATATAAGAAAAGCTCAAATTCATTATTTCAAACTAATATACTTTTAGAAGACTTTGTAAATTTGCAGGATCCTATATTTCAAGATAGAGAAATTATGTAATTTGAACTTTCTACTGATATTGCAAATTCAAATATTGAAGGTGATACTAATATGGACTTTTTAGGGGTGTGGCGACCTAGTAAAGTGGATAGGTTGTCAACCCCCAAGTGGCAGGTCTAGAGTTCAAATCTCAGTAATGGCAAAAATTTGCAATTCTTT